CTTCTCTACAGCAGTCCGTTCACAATATAGTCACGCGAAATAACGTACAATAGACTAATTAAAGGCTTATAGAAATTAAACTGTAAAAACAAAAGCAAAAACCCCCAACACATAAAACCTATCACTGTTTTCTAATATTACTTAACAACAGGGCGCGAAAGAGCTCAAACGGGTTCTCGTAAATTCATATCTGAGAGGTGCTATTTTTAATTTTTAATCCTCTGTCCACCAGGGAATCCTAGCTCAAACAACATGCTGTTAAATAACAATAAAAACGTTCTGGTTTCTACAACGATAATGGTGTGGTAACCGACCTATAGAATGAAAGAGGGCACGGTTTATTCAACTTTCTCCCGGTACGCAAGGTTTAATAAAACACGGGTGAAATTTCGCCAACGAAAGTTTAAAGGCAACGGAATTATTGTTTCTGTACAATATTATCTTTCATAGCCTACTCTCTCGACAACCAAACATCCATAGTCATAAAGGAGGCATTTCTTTCGCATAGGTCAGACGATATATTGAATTGGGAAAGTAAGTTTTTTTACGGAATCCACACATACAGAACTTGAAACATCAGTTCTAGAGTCAAACGCTAGTACAGTTGTGTCAGCCCGGAATTCTGAATCTGTAAAGAGTGGGTCCTGTTACACAGGAAATTTTCTACACCGGGAGAGTTTCGATCGCATCGAACAAGCAGCAAACGACACAACACTAACTTTCGCTATTTATAAGACGTTTGCGAACTCATTTTATTAGACCGAAAATATTTGCATTTGTTGCTCATGAATAATAGACAAATCTTCGTAGGAATTCCTTTTAAGTATTAGAAGAGAAATAAGCAAACACAGAGATACTTTTGTGCCCATTTACTCTTAACGAATACCTCCATAGACGTCTAATTCTAATCGTTTAGGAAACGGGAACAATCTTGAACAATGTACACAAAACTACTTCATAAAGCTTACCTCCAATGAAGGATGCGCTACGGTGATGGCAAAATGCGTTTGTAAGCAACAGTAAGCTAAATTCTATTTGTTTTACCGACGCGTTTGTTGTACTATTCGGTCGACAGTAATAAAAAAAAAAAAAAAAAAAAAAAATAAACATTATCCGCCATTTTTCGCATAAATTCCACTAATGTAAGCAATATTGTTCGTGTATGTATACTGCGGCCTTACTCACACTGACGTGCCAAATGACGCCAGTTGTTCTTAAACTGAACGTAGCATTCATTATGCCTGGGGTTGCACTTTAGTTTAACAAGAAAACCTTGCTTCGTCAAGAAACAGCACTGACTGCACAGTTTTTGCCGCGTTTGACTCGAAAGAAACATCTCAGATCTGTCTGCATCACTTCTTTATTTGTTTCCTCCCCAAAGCAGTACAGTTCGTACCTCACACTACATTTCCTTCGATTTGTTACTCTGTTTCGAGGAATTCTCAGCTAAAAAATGCATTTCCCTGTAGGAAGATCGTTCTAAAAATTTCAATGCTGACTTTAAATAAATAACGCTCCTTGACCGGAATATTCCGAAAAACAGGAATTAAATTTGAACATCTCTCTTACGTTTTCTTCATATGAAAATCAAATACGTTCATCCAAGCGAAACCAAAGGGTGTTGTCTTTTTATCATATTATCAATCTTTCAGAAAAACAGTAACGTCAATAGATCTATTAAGTGCAACATCTCAAAAGCAAATAAATCCAGGATGCTTGCAGAAGAAGCTGCATATAAAAAATCGTAAATAAAAAGCAGTTACTTTTTCGAAATGCAAGCCTCGCACTTCGTTGAAAACAGAAACCACTACAAGTAATAATTGAAGATCTTTTTCTTAAACTACATGGAAACGTTATTGCAACCATTCCATCAAAACGCAGACTATTTGACCAAAAAGAATTTGACCAATAAAGAAAGATCATTTTATACTTCTCCTATTTAAGACAATAACAGAAGAAAGAACGTGAAAAAGCCTCGATTTTGGGCTGGTGCCACCTAAGTAACTGGAAGGAAATAATTTTTCTACAACGTGCTTACAACACCTTTTTTTTTCTAATTAAACGGAAGTCCTTGAAATGGGAAGTCCTTCCTCACGAAATCGTGGGCATAAAAAACCCACTACTTTAATTTCCTCTTTATCAAGATTACTAACTCATTAAGAATCTTTTCTTAAAAACCACGACATTTTTAATTGCAAAGTTCCAAAACAAAGCTCGATGGCGAAATGAAAAAAGATGAACACTTGATAAAAATTTACATCACGAAGGATATTTAGACCTCGGTTAACCATGTTACGTAAGTTTGAAGCATTGAGTGGAAACCTACTTCACTTACAAGACTGCTGACACTTTGCCTAAACATAAATTTATAGAGGATTATAAGAGTTTTCTTGGGCAATTGTCATGTGCAAGTTGTCTTGGCTACGCGGTCAGCTATCAACAAATGAAATCCCTTCGATTATCATGATTTTCTTTACAAGAGTAACGCCTTGAAAAATTTCTGTAACTGTGGGAAGGAAATACTTGGATACGAGTACAATTTTAGCGAGCACGTAGTCGGTTGTTTGTAGAGATAGGCACTTCAGTTAATAAGTTTTAAGCAAACAACTCTGATTGTTTTCCGTTTACTTAACAAATTTTTATTTTATAAACTTTCATGTCCTCTAACCCTGTTTATTGCCTTGTATACCTCGAGGATTACCTGAGAAAAACAGCTACGTGATCTAAAGCACGAACCTCAACAAAACTCTGTGCCAAACAATTAAGGAAAGGATCATAGCGTAGGGAAAAAAAAAAACATCGAGATCTTTAAAAATAACACAGAATTAATAACTGCAGCTAGAATCTTCTTTTCGCTGAGTCAACAATTCGGAAATTAAAAAATTTCGCACATGACGTGTTGTGCTCCAGCGCCATAATCCACAAATAGCCTTTCAAGATACGAATTCCGGCGCATGTGATCCTATTATAGATCAAGCGCCTGGCATGATCAGGCGAAAACCCGGTATCACTTTCTAAATCAACAGATAGAGAAAGAAAAATCATTTTGCCAACGGGTAGTTTCCTGAAATGCTGGAATCATAACAAACTTAAAAATAAACCAAATCTATCAAAAACAGAAGCAATTTTTTTTAATAAAAAGAGCTCCCTTGCAACTTATTTTCGGTTAATTTTCAGTTTCTTTTTTCTGTGCTGTCAAGAAAACTTTTAAGAGTTGTATGAACTGGATTTTTGCCTAAAACCCTTAATCATTATCATCAGGGTTAGAAAAAGTTTATGAAATGCAACGCCAAATTTCCAGAACTGTTACTGTGAAAATTTTCAGCATGCCACGAAAAGAGAAAATATACGGCCTTAAACAAACAAGTTCTACATGTTGGGTGACAGTGGTTTACAAAGACAAAATTTTAGATCAGGAAACTTCGACGGCTTTTGAAAGTCCAGTATTTCGTTGCGCAAAGCAGTATCCTTTGTATAAAAACGAAATGACATCAATTTTGCACGAAAAGGATTTATTTCTCAGCAACACGAGCCTTAAATACAAAAGATTCCACATTCAAGAGTCAAGATTGGATTTGAATAACTTCTACGTTTCTCTTTTTAGATGTTACTCAGGTTTCGAAATGTCATGGTAATACAGAAAGTATTTGAGGCATTTCACGTTTGTACTTAAAACACGCGTTTAAAAATAAACAACAAAAAAGGCAAAATTTGAGTTACTACATAGTCACTATCACTTTATCACTGCCGGCTAAAAATAGGCCGCTTGACCCCAACTATGCACTGAACAATCTATGAACTTACAGAAAAAAAGGATTTCTACAAAACTAAACGTACCGTGGAAGGAAAGAGATTAAAACATTAATTTAGTGACGCATTTAACTGATGACGGTCGACTTAAGTTTCGTAAGGACTGAATATTTTCAAGCGTTACGCACTTCCTTGAAAATGGAATTTCTAGAATGTTTCAACCTACGATGATCTCACTTTGCAATACTCACTTAAATCATGGAGAAATAATTTCTTTCCCTTTCTTTTTCGGTATCCAAGAGCAAAAATTAAAAAAAGAAAGCGACATAGACGATATCATCTTCCATTCCTTGTAGCATTAAAAATAATTTTGGGGAGTGTTTTTCTCTTCTCTTGAGAGAGGAACAGATTTCCGCGGTCCCAATAGTCTGAAATTTTTGATGGGGACTAGTTTTTACAATTTTTTGTCCAAGCTAGTGGAAGAAATTAAATACGTTCACTTTTTCTTTATTACTAGTTGAGTCACAGCACCCTCTTCTTGAAAGCACCGATCACAACAACAAAATCAAACAAAAATCCTCTTCTTCTCTCTTAAAGCTTTTGCCAGCTTCTCTCGTCGACTTCGATAATTGTACTTTTGGTAGCGTTTTAGTACGAGGGATCATTTTAATGAAGCATTGGCTTTTTTTGACGGTATAAGGGCTGTCCGCTAAAATCCTAAATATCAGCCGACAAAATCTTTCTGTTATAAGTTGTCTACTGAATAGAGGCTCTTCCACCTTCGTTGCTCAAAGACTCGCGAGTTATAGAAACAAGAGCTTTTGTTGTTTTAAATAATTAACTTAAAAGTATTGAAACGACAAATTAAATGGCCAGGAAAACAGAGAGATAAAGAAACACCTTTATTGCAAAACGGAAACGGCAAAGTTGAACCAATGATTCGATATCTCCTCTTTAAATCTTCCAGTAAAACCAAACGACAAACAAACAAAACACATCAACGAACATACAGGCAAGTGGAAAAGGTTTAGTTCGTGGCGCTTGGCGCTTAAAAGCGTGCGTGCGTGCGTGAAGCATGTTCGAAACCTTCCGATTACAAAATAGCAGTCCAAGATTACCAATAAAAGAAAAGTAAAACGTCAAACGGAATAATATACTGTGCTTTAAAGGAAAGTAAAAACAGGAGCCGTTTTATTTCGAAAGTGGTTTTGCCTCGGTGCGTGTGCCTGCATCGACAACATAACATAACATAACATAACATCAACTTTATTTCAACACGTTAAGTGTTTAAAGCTTCGCGCTTATGGGGTCGCGCATTTAAACTAGTCCTAAAACTAATATCTATTACAAACTTCCATACAAAATAAAAGTAAGATTACTAATAGTTAATAATTATAAAAAATTGTGCAATACATGTGATATAATCTGCATAAAATATAGTTAAAAATAAAAAGCCTTGATCACAGACACAAACAGAAAGCATCAACGTACAGTGAAAATGCCATCAATTGAAAAAAAAACTTAAAACTGCCTCGTCAAGTTCGGGGGAAAAAAATCCTTTTAACAGGCGATCAATAACGTTCGGGGAAGAATATAAACGCCAAAGGCATTCTTTAATTTTTTTCTCAACGACAATGATGAGTTTGAAACCGCTTTGCATGGCACTGACACGGTTAAAACTGTGGATGAATGAAGAAAAAAATTCCACGAAAAAAATTCCTCAATTACTCTCGGCACTTCGCCTTTGAACTTTATTCTTGGTTAATGAGGGCATGAAAATTAAAACACAACTGGGAAAGACTTGCAAGCCAAAGAACTTCCTCTGCCGAATAAAATCCCTCAATATTTCTAAAACATCACAACAAATTGTTCTAATTCCGTATATGTCCGATTACTTGTACCATTTGTAAAAACTCCTGTTTTGTTGCCTAATTGCTCGCCTCCACTGGCCAATACAGTGCTTCTAATATTTAATGACTTTCGTCGGTCCTCACCGTTTGAGACTTCCCATACCCCCCACTTGCCAACAAAATAAAACTTCCACACAAAAATTCCATAAACAATGCTTACATTTTATCCTACGAAACGCCTTTAGGCCTCGTGCAACTCGTCCCTTATATCAGAGCAAAACTTTGCATACCACTCGCATTTGTAATGAGGGCAAATTTTCTTTCTCTCTTTTCTTCTAGTCGAAACGATGAACAAAAGCAATTTTGTATCCATGTGATTTTGAACAAGTTCGGAAAAACCACAATACTGTTAACGACTGCGAACAAAGATGAGTTACTTCCGTGTCTCAATATTTGCTTTCTGGGGACACCAGTTCAGATCAAAAACAACGAAAGAACCAAAAAAAGGCTACAGAAATAACTCGTTACCTACTGACAGAGTTGGCACTCGATATCAGTATTATTCGAGTACGGAGTCGATTTTCACCCTCGACTTAAAAAATTCGAAACTAACTTCGAATAATTGAATTCGAATGTTGACTACTGCTCATTCAACCGAAACACTTTACTATCGCAAAAAAGTAACAACAACAGCAACAACAAAAGCGAGGTATTTTTTTTTTTTCTAACAAAGAGTTCTTCGTTTCAACCAAAAAGAAAAGTACCACCAAGAAAAACTATTGATTGACGAAACGTCGAAAGGAAAAATAAAGTTTCAAAAATGTTCGATAACTGCGAATCTATTCTTTAAAGTTGGTGAAGGGGTTGAAGTAAAATCGAAGCTCTAGGGAAACAACCATTGTATTGAGACAATGCACACGGAATGTATTTCCGCGACTAGAGAACTAGTTATATATAGAACACATACTCTATTTATAAATTTGTTAAAATATAAACGAAATCACGCGTATGGAGATTAAGACAATCCAAAATACAATTGTGGTGAAAAACGTTAACACTAGTAAAATAACCTAACACGAAAGAGCAACCTAAGAGACGTCAGCGAACTACCCTAATACGTTGGCGAAACGATCTGAGCCGTTAGCAAACTGGTCGTTAGCGACACAACTCGTAGGCGAAAGGACTGGTGACAAACCTTGGTTATGTAGGACATTCCAGCATCCGTTCTTGCAGTGCTTGCTGTACGTGCTCGGCCAGTTTTCTTCGTTTTCTTTTACGGATTCGTTTTTTCTAGGTAAGAGAGAGCAAAAAGATAGGAGTCCAGTTCGAGATATCCTGGAAAAAATTCTCTACTTATAAACCAAAATTGTTCATCGCGAGTAATTCTTTGGTAAGAAGCGTAAGACTAAATTTATATTGTAGGGGTATCTATAACTTTTTTCCATAAGCGGCTGTGTCCGAAAAGGGGCCGTAAGGCGAAAACAAAACACGAGAGCCGGCTCCCAGGCTAATCAGACAGCAATAAAAGGTCTTATTGGCGGTGGTAGACCGCAAGCAACCACCTTTTTTTGAAACCCCTGTTTTTTTTTTTTTTTTGAAACCCCTGTTTTTTTCTTGTGCTGAAACAGATTGCAGTGACTTAAATTGAATGCGCCCTTGTGTGATTAACAAAGAATACTTTTGGTGCCCTTTTTCCCGCAATTAACTTCTTCTCCGTGAGAGAAAAAGTGAAGGAGATCTTACGTACACGGCAAACGCGAAACAGGTTACTTTCACGAAGAAACGGCAAAGCGCAACCAACAAAAGTGAAAAATGGCGGGAAAAACAAGGTCACGCGGTCATTCTTGCCATTCACGTTTCACGTAAACGCGGTGCTAACTCTCTCCATTATTAACATTACTATTGCCATAATTGTTCTCGTTACTATTATTATAATTATCATTATTATTATCATTTCTGTTGTAATTGTTTTCAACATTTCATCTTTATCATCACAGTATTAACAGCTTAGTATTCCCACTTTAGTATCGTCCCCAGTCTTTCTCTTCTTGCTCTTCAACATGGACAGAGGGTTTGGTCCCCCAGGCCTCTTCCGTTTACGTCTCGGTTGAACATCTGTCGTGGTGTCATTCAGTTGATCTAACGTTTCTTTCTCGTGCGCAGAGGGCTGCAGACGGGAAATTTGAACCTTAAACGCAAAAGATGGCATTAGCCAGAGTCAAATCAAAGTAACCTGATTGCAGGCGGTAGTTGGTATGCGCGAGATTCAGCGCGGCGAATATAATCGGTCGCCATATTAGACGGGTAGAAGATCTGGGACGAGTGACAAAGCGAAGGGGAGGGGGGAGGGGAGGAAAGCTCAGAAACTCCCTCCCCCTCGCCTTATCACTCGTCCCAGATCTATCACCCGTCCAATATGGCGACCGACTATATTCGCCGCGCTGAATCTCGCGCGTACAATCTACCGCCTGCAAGTAGGCTAAAATGAAGGAAACTAAAAACAGCGTAGTTTGGAAGATATGATTCCAACTAGAATGTGGAATAAAGCTAGAGAAAAAAAAAAAAGAAAAGAATAAAAACAATAACGTAAAGAGGCTTAACAATTTACGCCCTTACATCAATATACATATTCTCCCTATCGTTCTCTATACATTTCCTGAGGAGATGACAAGGAGAATTTGTTAAACAATCAAGAGCTTCTTTAGTTGTTGCTCATTTCCTTTATTCTCCTGACCTTAATGTGTGATTTAGGGGTGATATTGTAGAGAGAAATTAGATGCTCGTCATTATTAGAAAAAAATGGGTCAAACTAATGCTTTGCATTTTTTACTTGCGCGCAATTAAAACAGTTACTCTTACTATCTTTGACTGACCAACGCATGCGTGATAGCTGAATAATTTTTCGAAGCCACGAGAGGAAAAACGCATTCCTCTCTTTCTTTGTGTGTAATGAGACCAAAAAGTGAATTCATGGAAAGAAAGAGCAGTAGAAAAGTAGAAACAACAAGAGAGAAATAATGAGGTTACATAATATGAGAAAAATAAACACGGATGTCAAAGGCGCCGTCAAGACTTATGGTGTAAATGCGACGCTTTCTCTTTAGGTCACGCAACGTCGTGGAAAAACAATTGTTCGCTTTCTTTTTCTTTCTTTTTTTTTTTTTTTCTGTGTTAGCCAGGACTAATTTCAACTGTGAATCATGACGGACCTAAGACTTAACTGACATGTACGCAACAAGGCAATAATAAATCATCCGGTCTCACGCAAAGTTAGAAAAAAAAATTATTTGCAGTAATATTAAAAGTACTCGTAATTATAATAAGATGACCAAATGTTCAAGTGGAAGCACGAAAAGAGCCGGTGGTTGTCGCTACAAAGTTCAAAAACCGGTTAAAAACTCAAGTGGAATCGCACAAACTTCGAGTGAACCACTCGACTTACACGTGTTTTTACTTTACTTTGAAGTGCGCTATAGACTTTACACGTGTTTTTTACTCTGTATAAAGTTTTGAATATCTGGAAAACAGGGACTTTGTCCTTTCTCTAATTGTTATGTTTTGAGATATTTTGGAATCAGGTTTCAGCTAATGTTTTCTTTTTTTAACTAAAACAATATTTGGCGAACCAGTCCTTGCAGGTAAACTGCGAAAAAAGAAATGGCAGAAAATAAAACTTTAAAAAAGATCAGTCCCTCTACGAAGGTTAGATTATTGTCTCCCTTATATCGGGCGAGTGCCATTAACAACCGAGATACGAGCTACATATCGACAGCTAGGCAAATTTAAGGGAGTTCTCTGTTCTTCGTATGGAAATTTGATCACACATTTGCCGGTAGATGTTACCGAAGAGTTTGAAGTCTAGCACAACAGAATGAAAATAACGAAATGGAGAGAACTGGTTTCCGACACGGAAAATTGTTCATAAATGCCAATATAACTGTGGGGAAAAATTGAAAAGAAATACCAGTAAAGCGAAATACCTTCCATTCCAATACTGAGTGTGCCTCTTCACTTGGCCGGTCGCGAGCGAGAAACGATTTTCCTGAATAAATTCTTCGCAGCTTTGTATCAAAGCATTACATTAACGCAATAAGAACACTACTAAAGTCGTTAGAAAACTCTCTTTTGCACTTACGCATTTCATGAGCCTAAATGTTTTTTTCCATTTAACAGTTCAAACGAGCTGCGATAATCAAAGGCTACCCGGCAGAAAAAACAACCATATGAGGTTTGAGCCCACGAAAACAAAGTTTAAATCGACCAGCATTTTGCGAACAAAGTGCAGCTCTTCGCTCGGCCAATTAGCAGACGAGAAATTTCAAAGTGGTTGTTAAGATGGCTTCAGGGATCTACACAATTTTGTCGATGACACAACTTTCAACTCACTGCAAACACGCTGTTGTTGACATTATAAATCCGTCTTTTGATCATAGTTAACCAGAAGGATGCGTGGTTTCTTTGCAGCACTTAGATTACAATGTAACAGTGAAAAAATTTCCAAAATTATTGCTTCAATTTTTTCTGGCTAGAATTATTTGAGTTGAGGATACACTTGGCAAAAAGCTTGAACTTGGCATAGTGTTGGGTCATATCCAACACTTTGTGGCTGCGTTTGTCGACACATCTTCCCGCTATATTTATTACCGAGCTAACAAAGTTCCTTATCAAATTTATTCTTCTTACTGAATCTATTTGTTTTACAAAATAATTAAAAGATAAAACTTATTGATCGAGACGTCTTCTAAGTACCGCTGGCGCGTGCTGCGGTAAATACATGCGCGTCAAGCGTGTTATTCGTAGGAATCAAACCCACTCCTAGTGCGTGCAGTTTCGCGCGTCCAATAGGAAAATTACACGCGTGCTGAGGTTTACACGAAAATCTGTGCATTTCAATTCGTCTTTTGTCATTCTCTTTTCACGTATATGCGTGTACCCTTTCACACGAATGCGACGGCTGTGGAAGATTGCATTTCACTCAAATTGTCCTCTAAATGATCATAAGAGCCAATCAAAACATTGGTGTAATTCAGCTTACTTCACGCGTATTTAAAGAGATGACAAACCTGGTGAGATGCTTGATAGGACGCCCTTGAAGGCTTCTCCAGGAGTATCGAGTTGTGATTAATAAATAAAAGTGGTACACCTGTAAAACACGTGAACAGGGCCAGGAAAATATATGAACAATTAGGGGCTGGACAAAAACTTATTCTACAATCAAAAAAAGAAGATTAGTTGGTGATGCTGAGGGAAGCAGTAGCTTGTAAACTGAGCATGGTAGCACTGAGTATGCAACCAACTAAATTGCTTTGAAAATGGAAGCTTTGGAAGGAAAACTTAAAGCGCATTCGAAGGTAATTTTTGAGCAGCAACACACAATGGAATTTTAAAATAACTTATCCTACATGTAGAGAATCGATTAGACTATGTAGCTCAACAGAAATTATCTTTGCCATTTAAATAGAAAGCACAGGAGGAAAGAATGAAATGAAACAGAATGCTACCTGGAATTTTCTGCAAGAGACTTCTTAGAGTTCTGTCTTGTGAGGCAACAAAAAAGCCATTTTTGTTCTCAGTTCCTTTCAAAGAGAAGCAACAGGGAGAATTCACATGTATTGAAGGAACTTTCAAGAGTAACATAATGCGATTTTTTTTATTAAATTCAAATACCAAAGCCATGCCAACTGGAATATAATCTGTCTGGCTCATGAGAAGGGCAAGAAAGGACATTAAAGAGGAAGACAAATGATGAACTAAATATACATGTAAGAAATTAACCTGGCTGCCAGGTTAAATTTAAATCAATTGATTTAAAACTCAAAGAAGCTTTTTATATAAATAAGATCAAACCTGAACTTAACAAACAATTACAGCATTATAACACTTTTCTAGCATTGTAGTTCACACGTTTAATTTCATGTTTGTTGTCACGCTGTAATTAGTACCAATCAAAAAGTGCATACAATTTATCTTCTTATAGAATTACCAATCATATTCATGATACATTCCGCAGCTGGCACAGCTCCCTTATGGTGGCCACATTTCCGCAGCTGGAATCTCTTTGCAATCAGCACAGCACCGGCTAGCTGAGGACCAAGAGCTGTACCTTCTTCTATTACACATTTTGTCGTCACTTGTCACAAGTCAAGTTAACATTGTGCACAAAACTTAAAAGGCTACCGGTATATAACCATATACTTTGGCTTAGTGACTTATCGCAACTTAGAGAGTAAACATTACAGCAATAGTTTGTTCATCTGGAATCTATTGACCTCATAGAAAAATGTGCCGAATTCTGATTTCAAAAGAAAATGATGGCAAAGACAATAGTTCGCACTATGAGCAAGGCTTTTTTTGTAATAAAATGGTTAGAGGGAAATCTCTGCATACCATTCGCAACTGTTCACTTTTTTAAGTAGTATGATTTACTCTTTGTCATATTATCTTGAGTCATTTATTCCAACATGAAAAATTAATGAGAAGGAAGCCAGCAAAGGTTACTTAGGTAAAATAGACAAAGACAAAATTTGAAAGAATTCACCAAGAAAGGCCAGGCATGACTTAAACACGAAGGCGTGCTATAAAAGGAGCCTTATGTCCCACTGGACCATTTGTCAAT